ATCAAACTATTGCCTCCTCCTTCATATCAAAGCCCCCAAGATGAAAACCATCGATAGTATGTCTTGACCTCCAGCTCTACCTCCTGGGTAAAATAAGTCAGGCTTGATGCTGTAAAATCAATAGCTTTTAACATCACTATATCTCAAGCTCATGGACAAATATATCGGCTTGACAGAGCGCATCTCCCTTCTGCTGTTAACATGGGCTGGGGGAGAAAAGAAGTTTGATTTTATCTTCTCCCTGTAAAAGAAAAGGAGATGTGTAAATTATTAATGGCTTGTATTACAGACGCAGGCCAGTTCTCTCCAGGGAGTGAAGTTATTCCTCCTGATGCTGAAATGACATCGGACTACAGTTTGCATTCTTCTCATGTGCTGCAGCTCTGCGATCAGAGTCAGGCTGCTCAGAGGCACGCTGCTCTAACTCTCACAGGTTAGAGGCTCCGTGACTTCTGCAAGTCGTTGCACAGTGCTGTTGTTGTTCAAACAAACACGTCAGCACCACAGGCAAGCTCATCCTTATAGCACATTTCAACACAAGACAATTCACAGTGCTTGACAACAAATGGAAAACATTAAGAGCAATAATGTAAAATCCAGCAGAAAGTATTTGAAAATACGCATTTAAAAGCCAAGAGTACGGTGGCCGACAGGTGTAATTATTTACAAGTGCTGCATAGGCATAAACGCAAGGCTGGATTAACCATATGGGCAACCTGGGCAATATTTTTTTTCGGGCACAACCTCACTCATCATACATTGTTTTAAATTACACTCACTCTTCGCCATAAATAACACAGCTTTTCTATAGGGTCAAATTAATATATTTTCTAAACCGTCTCTGTACTGTAGGTCTCACTATGTATGCGCTCAACTTTATTAATACGAGGCGGAATTCGGATATCTGGCCGAATCACAGCCGCACCCTCACTCATTTTTGACAGAAAGGGCAAAAGGCTAGACCTACTTTGGTTGAACTATGTGGCTGCGTCCCTTCTTTTGACAAATAGGTGTGCGATTTGACATGCCAGATTGACTGAAAATTTTAAATATTGGTCATGTTGGTAGGCGTGGTGTTACTTTTTGATGTTTGGCCATTATAAAGTAAAGTGTACGCTTTATGGGCTTATTTTAACAATATGATTGCATCAGGATTGCATGTTTCCTTACGATCTTATTGCAGATCTGCAGTAAGCTAGCTAACGTAGCTAACCTTGTCTTGGTCTGAAATTGTTAATCATAAATCCTCAAATTAAAGTTTGAATGTGCAGAACTTAAGTTAAATTGGCCAAAACTGAGATACTTGTGAGTGATCATCCTACATGAGACACATTTTGTAAAACTTGAAATTAGCACAACCAACAAACAAAGCCATCAAGAGTCATCACAAGGAGTTTTATATTGGTAAATAAATGGACTTTGTTTGGTCAAAAGTGTGACCACCCATACCTTACTCTTCTGATGTTTGGTTTGGGCAATGCTCTTTTAACTGTTATCCCCTCCAAAAGACACCTGAGATGTTGCAAACATTTTCAAAAGAGAGCACATCACAAACGATTTGCGTGTTTGGCTTCTTGTGTGTAAAAGGCTCTGAATCATTTACCTGAAATCTAAGACCGTCTTTTCCTATAGATGGGTCAATATCACTATAAAGTAACTTTGGTGTCCCCATCAGAATCACTCAGTTATCATGAAAATGTAGCAGAATAATGAAACTCTGAGGTCTTATTATAAAAGGCCAAACATTTACACACATATCAGTACAATGATAAGTCTCTTGAAATGTGTTTCCTTCATTTTATACCGTATTTTTTAATTGGATATACGTGATTTTGGCATGTCCCACACACTGCTTTGCTAACTACAGTGTGTGTAATAAGTGGTTAAATGATACTACATTAAAAAAGAATTATATGGTGTTATTGTCCACAACGAGTTATTTGATCAAACGAGTCATTTTGATCATGTATATTCTATTTTCATACTAATATTGAACATTTTGCATGTGTCCTTGACATTTGCTGTCCACCCTGTCATTATGGGGAAACTGCCCCATAAAAAAACATCTGATGTTTTCAGTGACATCACTATCACCATTTTGTCTTTCTTCAGTGGAGGCTGAGACATTGGCTAGGTGCAGAGTAAGTATTTACACTTATATTTNCACACCAGGGCTCAACATGATAAACTTGCCCGCTCGGGCCACTAAATATAATGCTTTTTAAAAAAAAAAATGTTCCTGTGGTATAGGTATTTTGACAAGCAATTGTGTTAAATTGTTTCGTTTATTAACGCTACAACATAGCGTTTCGTGAAGGCAGTTGTTGTTGTTGGGGTGTAAAAAGCAAAACAGACTGTTTGCTGTGGATCGCAGCGCGAGCAGGCTACCGTAAGCGGGAGCGCGCTCCTTCACTACAGACTTTCGCGCCACCTAACCATTCGCCAACATGTTTTTAATACCAGCGGTAATCGGCCAACCGCCGGGCAAAAAACTGAGGTTACCTACTGTAACCCCAGCTTCTATTAGTAAATAGCGCAGCCCTCTAAGGCTATCGCTATTGGGTAATCCCCCTGCGCCCCCGCGCAGCACTAAAACACTTGTAGTCCACGCCCACCCGCAAGGTGGGCCCCACCCTCGGGCCTCCTTCCGGTATAAATAGGAAGGTGGCCCGGCAATCTGCTCCCATACAACATAACTTTTCTTCAGCTATTCGTAGAGCCAGTGGGGCCCCGCACNGGGTCTAGACACTGGTGGTGGTGATAAGTGGTTCGGTCTGGTCTGAAGGGAGAACGTTTTAGCTTGGCCCTGTATTAGGAGACAGGAGGCGAAGGGGTGGAGGAGGGTTGCGTGTTGCCACCTGAAATGACAGCTAACGGAGAGGGAAGAGCAGATTTAAAGGGGTTAGCGGGGGATTGTGATTGGCTAGCTGGGGAGTAACGCCCACTTATTGAGAGAGGAGAGAGTATTGAAATGACGTGTAACAGACAGAGGATATTGGTCTTCCTGACTGAACTTGCGCTGAGCTTCATATAGTTTAGCTTCTCACCATCATTTGCTGTGGCCCACTGATGTTAACGATCGTAACTGAAAGGCTGCCTGTCAATTGTAAACATTCAGCCACGTGACTCGCAAACTCTCGCGAGAGTTTTACACAAGACGGATCCTTTCTAGCCATAACCAACTCACAGACTGNNCACAAAGCCCATAAACACATGACGCACTTCTTATTTTCCAACGTAAAGAATCAAAAGACTCACGTGCAGATGTGCAGTGTGGGCCTACTATTCCCAGGAGAAGCAGAAACAGCAACATCTTCATCTTCATCGAGGCTTTCTGTGTGAAAGGTTCTTTATCCACAGAAACTGAGGTTACCTACTGTAACCCCAGCTTCTATGAGTAAATGGCGCAGCACTCTAAGGCTATCGCTATTGGGTAATCCCCCTGCGCCCCCGCGCAGCACTGAAACACTTGTAGTCCACGCCCACCCGCAAGGTGGGCCCCACCCTCGGGCCTCCTTCCGGTATAAATAGGAAGGTGGCCTGGCAATCTGCTCCCATACAACATAACTTTTCTTCAGTTTATACCGGAAGGAGGCCCGAGGGTGGGGCCCACCTTGCGGGTGGGCGTNTGTGAAATCAGAATATGTGCAGAAAGGAGTATGACATTGTGTGCATTAATGTAATGCATATAGAGAGGTATAGTGTCAGCAGGGGGGCCGGGCCTTGTTTAAGAGGCTGGTAGCGGAGGGGAAGAAACTGTTCAGGTGGCGAGAGGTTCTGATCCTGATGGAGCGCAGCCTCCTGCCAGAGGGGAGGGGGGCGAACAGTTTGTGTCCAGGGTGGGAGGGGTCGGCCACTATCTTCCCGCCTCAGATGGCTAACTATCACTGTTGGCAGAGTTGTTGGCACTGTTTCAAAATTGTAAACGTTTTTTTATATATTTGAAATCCAACGGTTGTTTAGATTTGTTAGATAAAACCGCTTAGCCTTAGGTCAACCCCATGAAGCGCTAGATGGAAAGAAGATGGCGACCCAAGGGGGGAACTCTCCTGATGATGGTGCTAGGGGAAAGGTCGAGGGAGCAAAGTCAGTGTGCCTCATCCTCTGGGAACCATGAATACCTAATTTTAGAGTTGTTCATCAAATGGTAGTGGATATAGATTATTTCCGTCCAGATTAATCAAGAAAATAAGGGTATTCACTTTATGAGGGGAGATGAAACAAGTAGACGTGCGGTATTGTAATAAAGAAATGCATGCCAACTGGTGAGAGAAATTAAAAGTGTTTTTTATGGCAACAATTACTGTCGAACTTTATGCCAGTAATTCAAAAAAACGAAGCTACTACTGTGGAGTTGTAGTTTTGTTAATTGATGATTTCCAAACCCCTGTCACGGAGATCCATTGTGATGAACCTCTGTATAATGTGCGCTACATATGCTTATTTGGTAGTATTGTTGCTGCCGCTTTCATATTGCAAGCACTATCTGTTCCTACAGTGGTGATATATACGCTATCCCCCACTTAACTCCTCTTTGACCTCAAGAGACTTGCTCATGGATCTGCAAAAACTTACCTCCAATGTAACCACGCCTAAAGGGAACAAGTGCACTTATATGCAATGTATGGTGAACCACAGTGCTGGAATTACGTTTTATTTTACACTTTAAAGTGGACCTATCATGCTATATTTGAATAATATATTGTAGGACCATACCTATATAAAACATGTCTATGAAGTTTTTTTTTCAAAATACCAAACAGATCATGCATTTTAGCCATGCCTCATTTCGCTCTATTTGCTCTATTCCAGCCCTGTCTTCACAAGGGCTGATTCTGTGGCAAATGAGCTGCAGCTGACCACGCCCCCCTGCAAAGGAGGGGGGCGAGGCACGAGTGTCATGTTACCATGCTGTTACCATGCTGTTACCATGCCACGGCAACCTCTCATTCCCCTGATAGGTGGAGCGTTGCCCATGTAGGCGGAGCATCACCGCCCACTATTCCGGGCTGACGTCAGCTCAGATGGAATCTGTATCCGCTCGTTGTAGCCCCGTTTTTAAAAGATTTGGGTACGGAGGAAAAGAGAGAGGGTTGTATTTTCTGACACTTGGTGAGTTCCCTGGAACACCCGGGACACATGCTCATGTATAAAAGACGTACAAAAGTGCATTTTGCAAGATAGGTCCCAGTGGCGGCCGGCCCATAGGGGCACCGCCCCCTCTCTTCCCACATGTTTGATTGTCATTAAAAATAAAAATATATTTAAAAAGAAAAAATATTTTTATTTTTTATTTTTAATGAACCAGGTAAATATTATATAGTTGTATCAGTAAAATGTATAATCTAAAATAAAATCTAGTTTAAAATGGTGTTACGATGTCTAAAGTTACTGATAAGTCACATGTTTCCTGCCTGGCCGCAGCGTGTATCATTACCCTCTCTCGTATGGGCGC